GAATTCCTGGGTTGTTTTTTCTAGGTCTGAGAATAATGTTGCTGGTAATTTGACGGGTATTGCATTGAATTTGTAGATTGCCTTAGGTAAGATGGACATCTTCACAATGTTGATTCTTCCAATCCAAGAGCATGGAATATTTTTCCACTTGTTTGTGTCATCTGTGATTTCTTTGAGCGGTGTTTTGTAGTTTTCATTGTAAAGGTCTTTCACATCTCTGGTTAGGAAGATACCAAGGTATTTCATTTTTTTTTTTTTTTTGGTGGCTATTGTGAATGGAATTGTGCTTTTTATTTGGGTTTCTGTTTGTTTATTATTGGTGTAAAGAAATGCGATTGTATTTTGCACATTTATTTTGTATCCTGAGACTTTGCCAAAGTCCTTTATCAGTGTAAGGAAGTTTTTGACAGATTCTCTTGGATTTTCAAGTTACACAATCATATCATCTGCAAAGAGAGATAACTTGACTTCCTCTTTTCCTATTTGGATACCCCTGATTGCCTTCTCTTCTCTGATTGCTCGAGCCAGGACTTCCAATACTATGTTGAACAGGAGGGGTGAGAGTGGGCATCCTTGTCTTGTTCCAGTTTTTAGGAGAAATGGTTCCAATTTTTGTCCATTTAGGAGTATGCTGGCTGTGGGTTTCTCATAGATGGCTTTTACTATTTTGAGGTATGTTCCCCGTATGCCTAGATGTTCGAGGGTTTTTATCAAGAAGGGGTGCTGGATTTTATCAAAAGCTTTTTCTGCATCTAATGATACAATCATGTGGTTTTTGTTTTGACATCTGTTGATGTATTTAATTACATTTATGGCTTTACGAATGTTGAACCAGCCTTGCATCCCAAGAATGAAGCCTACTTGGTCATGATGGATGATTTTTGAGATGTATTATTGAATCCAGTTTGCCAAGATCTTGTTGAGGATTTTAGCATCTATGTTCATCAAAGATATTGGCCTGTAGTTCTCTTTCTTTGTTGGATCTTTACCTGGCTTGGGTATCAATGTGATGTTGGCTTCGAAGAATGATTTGGGGAGAGTTCCAACTTTTTCAATCACCTGGAATACCTTCAGTAGGATTGGTATCAGCTCCTCCTTAAATGCCTTGTAGAATTCTGCTGGAAAGCCATCTGGACCAGGACTTTTTTTTGGAGGTAGTTTTCTTATTAGGTAGTTGCTTTCCTTGATTGTTATGGTCTATTTAGAGTCTCAATTTCTTCTTGTTCCAACCTAGGTAGGTTGTGTGAGGTCAGAAAGTCCTCCATTTCCTTAAGATTTTCAAGTTTGTTTTCATACAAGTGTATGTAGTAGTCTCCAATGATCTTTTGTATTTCCTCAGGGTCATATGTGACTTCATCTTTTGTGTTTCTGATTGTGCTTATTTGGGTTTTTTCTCATTTTTTCTGGTCAGTCTAGCTAGGGGCCCATCGATCTTGTTTATCCTTTCGAAGAACCAGCTTTTTGTTTCATTGATTTTTTTGTATTATCTTTTTGTCTTCTATGTCCTGGATTTGGGCTTTTATTTTGGTGATCTGGATTCTTCTGCTGAAATTAGGGTTTTTGTGGTCTTGTTTTTCCAGCTTACTTAGGTGGCTTGTTAGGTTATTAATTTCTGTTCCTTCCATTTTCTTCATATGTGTTTGTAGGGATATAAATTCCCCTCTTACTACAGCTTTTAAGACGTCCCAGAGATTTTGGTAAGA